GACAGCCTTGCTTGGCGACCCCCGTGAAATGGTCGATCGACCCCAAATGGGGTCGCGACCCATAGGTTGAGAACCGCTGATGTAATGCATAATCACTGGGAAAATTCACTGGGAAAGTTCTGTGTCAGTAATATGTGGCTAACCAAATGCGCATTGCACAGCACATGGATACTTTGTATGTAGCAAAACCTTCCATTGTATGCCCGTGAGAAATGATCCAAATGTATTTCAATGTATTACCATGTGTAGTCCCTTTGTTCCTGAAAGAAGGATAGTATAAAAACTGAAGTCTAATCCCGCCCTCCTCGTTCAGAATTGCCTATCTCTATATGCCTCTGAACCTGTGCAAATAAACCTCTCTGCTAAACCCCTCTGGAATTCGTAAGAGTTCTTTCGTTTTCCACAAGACTGTGAGTGTTGCCCCATTTTACGACTTTTCTTGCCACGGTTGTGAAGTGAATCACTGCAGTTGTTGAATGAGTAACGCGGTTGTTAAGTGAATCTGGCTTCCCCGTGGACTTTGCCTGTCAGAAAGTCGCGATATAGGAGATCACACGACCCCTGGGACACTGCAACCGTCATAAATGTGAGTCACTGGCCATACGTCTGAATTTTGATCATGTGACCCTGGGGATGCTGCAATGATTCTAAGTGTGAAAGGCAGTCATAAGTCACTTTGTTCAGCGCTGTTGTAATTTTGAATGGTCACTAAATGAACTGTTGTTAAGTCACCTGTACTTCCAAAAGCAAAACATGCAAAAAAAACCCAACAACATTAAGGATATTGCAAAGGCAGGTTACTTTTAATGAATCTAATTTTTGATCCAAATCTCTCATCTGCTCGTTTCCACAAAGGTTTCCAAAACAAAGACAGCAGAAGCAGCCTGTTATTTTTCTATGCCTGCTCCGTTCCTGATTTAAATCTGCTGTTTGAAACATTCAACGCTTTGTTTCTCCTGATTTGTTTCAAAAGCTGCTACTCGTGGTATCTTCCCTAGCTCACAGTTAATCTTCCATTCCTGTAATTCCAAACAAATTCCAAACATTCTGGAGAGACCAGGCCTTCCTGATTTGAAGGGGAGCAAACATTTGCAGCCTCCGTGCCCATCTGGAATTTGAAAGCGTTGTACAAAATGGCTGCCGAGGTAAGGTCTTTCCTAGTCTCAAAATGGCAGCCAAAATGCCCAGGAAGTTACTTAAACATACTAAAATCATAAGCACAATAAAATCCCTTCAGTAGCTATTGAGAAAAATGACTGTTTCCAATTTCTCTCTCTCTTTTTCTAAAAAAAATTGCCTGCAAATTTCAAAAGTGAACATGAAAATAGCTTGGAAGAAGGTATGGGGCAACCTTTATAAAAACATTTAACTTCGTCCAGAGGAAGAGGGTGAGGAATAAATTCAAAATTGGCCCACCCTGACTCTTTTAGATGTAAGAGGAAGAGAGAAACTGTTTAGGTTTTCAAGATTTTGTTATGATATTTAGACAGGGGTAGGCAACCTTGGCTCTTTTATGACTGGTGGACTTCAACTCCCAGAATTCCTGAGCCAGCATGGCTCAGCTTGGAAACCTCTCCCTTTTCCCTCAGCATGGCCGACTCAGGAATTCTGGGAGTTGAAGTCCACCAGTCATAAAAGAGGCGAGGTGGCCTACCCCTGCTCTAGAATGAGTACAGAGAAGAGCAACAAAGATGATCAGGGGACTGGAGGCTAAAACATATAAAAAATGGTTGCTGGAATTGGGTATGTCTACTCTAGTCTAATGATGAGAAGGACATGGGGGGACATGATAGCAGTTCCAATATCTCAGGGGTTGCCACAAAGAAAAGGGAGTCAAGCTATTCTCCAAGGCGCCTGAAGGCAGGACAAAGAAACAATGGATGGAAACTAATCAAAGAGAGAAGCAACCTGGAACTAAGGAGAAATTTCCTGACAGTGAGAACAATTAATCAGTGGAACAACCTGCCTCCAGAAGCTGTGAATGTTCCAACACTGGAAGTTTTTAAGAAGAAAGTGGACCACCATTTGTCTGAAATGGTATAGGGCAGGGGTAGGCAACCTTGGCTCTTTTATGACTTGTGGACTTCAACTCCCAGAATTCCTGAACCAGCATGGCTCAGCTTGGAAACCTCTCCCTTTCCCCTCAGCATGGCTGGCTCAGGAATTCTGGGAGTTGAAGTCCACGAGTCATAAAAGAGCCAAGATTGCCTACCTGTAGACTAGACCAGTGTTTCTCAACCTTGGCAACGTGAAGATATGTGGACTTCAATTCCCAGAGCTTCACAGCTTCACACCTTGCCAAGGTCCAAAACGCTGCTGTAACCTGCTGCTTCTCTCCAGCTAAATTTGGGGAGGCCGTACTTGACGCCCCTTGCGGAGGCTCAGTTTCACCGCTGACCCCGACCGACCTCTCTCCTCACCTGCCGTTCCCGCCGCTCTGTCCCATGCTGACGCCCCAGGAAGTCCTCCGCCAGGCTAACGGCTTGAAAGCAAGTCTCCGGATGCCTGGCTCGGACCCAATTCTGCATTTCTTCGGGCAAGATGGACAGGAACTGCTCCAGGATCACCAGCTCCAGGATCTGACTCTTGGAGCGCCGCTCCGGTTGCAACCAACGATGGCAAAGCTTCCAGAGCATGCCGCAGACCTCGCGGGGCCCCTCGGCATCCTGGTAGCAGAACTGACGGAAACACTGGCGCTCAATGTCCAGGCTGGCGCCGGTCACCTCCAGGCCTTCCTCCCCCACCTCTATGAACTCCGTTTTGTCTTTCCCAGAGGCGCTGTTGACCAACTGCTGGGCGCCTTCGCCAAGGTGCAAGAGGGGCTGGGTCACCCTGTTCCGCCGCCGACGCGGCCCGAGGTCGGAGGTTTCTTCCAGGGAAGAGAGCTCGGCCTCTGAATGGCCACTTCCTTCTGCCCTCAGCAGCTGCTCATTCCCCGGCTCGGAAGTTGTGGACTGTTTGCCCATGATAAATTTCTCTTCTTCCACTTCCAAGCAACAGTCTTCTGGGTCGGCCTCTGGCTCCCGCTTAATGGCTTCCGCCATTACGCTTTCCAGGGATTCCTTGACCCTCTCCGAGGGGATCCCCAGAGGCCTTTCCACCACCTCCTTCTCGGGTTCTGCTGCTTCCTGCACCTCAATCTTCACCCCATCCTCCAGATCGGCGTCCAGCTGGAGGTCCAAGCCGGCGGGGTTTCTGTGTTCTCCTGCCATTGTCGCTTCTTAATAGCAAGGCTGGAATCGTCCGAGGGAACACCTCCTTTCTCGGTGATGCCGGTTAAAGTGGAAGGAACAAGGAAGCGTTTCGGCCTGGAAGAAAATTAAAAAGACAATTCAACAGAATGCCATGAATCAGATTTGGAGCCAGTTCTGGTGTCAGACCTGCCTCAGCTTGAACCTCTAAATAAAAACGATCCTTGACTCTATTTGTGGATAAAGGTATGGTTTATTACAAGTCAAGTGAATTACAGTAATGCAAAGCCAGAACTGAAAATCGTGCCGAAATTTGGTCGCCATGATGTAAAAAAGATGTTGAGACTTTACACCAGGGGTTGGCAACCTTGGCTCTTTTATGACTCGTGGACTTCAACTCCCAGAATTCCTGAGCCAGCATGGCTCAGCTTGGAAACCTCTCCCTTTACCCTCAGCATGGCTGGCTCAGGAATTCTGGGAGTTGAAGTCCACGAGTCATAAAAGAGCCAAGATGGCCTACTCCTGCGCTAGAATGAGTACAGAGAAGAGCAACAAAGATGATCAGGGGACTGGAGGCTAAAACACATAAAGAACGGTTGCTGGAATTGGGAATGTCTAGTCTAATGAAGAGAAAGATGAGGGGGAACATGATAGCAGTCTTCCAGTATTTCAGGGGTTGCCACAAAGAAGAAGGAGTCAAGTACTCTCCAAAGCGCCTGAAGGCAGGACAAGAAGCAATGGATGGAAACTAATCAAAGAGAGAAGCAACCTGGAACTAAGGAGAAATTTCCTGACAGAACAATTAATCAGTGGGACAACCTCCCTCCAGAAGCTGTGAATGCTCCAACACTGGAAGTTTTTAAGAAGAAAGTCTGAAATGGTATAGGGCAGGGGTAGGGCACCTTGGCTCTTTTATGACTCGTGGACTTCAACTCCCAGAATTCCTGAGCCAGCATGGCTCAGCTGGGAAACCTCTCCCTTTCCCCTCAGCGTGGCTGGCTCAGGAATTCTGGGAGTTGAAGTCCACCAGTCATAAAAGAGCCAAGGTTGCCTACCCCTGGTATAGGGTTTCCTGCCTGAGCAGGGGGTTGGACTAGAAGACCTCCAAGGTCCCTTTCAACTCTGTTATTCTGTTCTGTTACCCCCAAGTCTAACTTTTCCTTCCCTTAGGTGTGTCCCCTCGTTGCCCACCCCCATGTCCAATCAAATTCAAAGAAGCTGTTTCAGAACAGTCACTTCAAGTGTTAGGTTGGTACGCAGCCACGTTACGTTCCCAGTCGGTTCGCCCTGAAGCCGCATGCCAGGGAGACATAGTCAACTTTTCGTTACCCATGAAAGCACCTCCCTCCCATCCAGTCCCCCCTTCCTAGAGTTCATAGCAGACTGGCATCCAGTGATAGTGAAATGCAAGTGTGAGCTGGAAGCCGACATTCGATTAGAGCCGGGCTGAGCACTTCTGAGGCCTCCAACAGAATCCAGACATAAGTATAAAAACAATTCAAATTACAAAAGTTAAAAAGAACGTAGAATTATAGGGTTGGATGGGACCTTGGAGGTCTTCTAGTCCAGCCCCCTGCTTAATTGGGACTTGGACTAAGGGGATTTAGGACAAGGGAAGTCTTAGGGACAGTCAGGGACAGGTTTTTTTTTCTTTAAAACTGATTTGGGGGCTAGGTTTTAATAGCTTGCAGAGACTTAGAACTTCTACTTAAGTTTCTCCCATTTAACCATGGTCTCATTATGCGTCTTTGAGCCAGTCGCTATCTCACTATCGGCCGACTTCACAGCATTGCTGTTACGGGGTGGAGAGAAGAAAACCTGCCATATATATTACCTTGAGCATCCAAATTACCAATAAGGTGGCCAACACAGCATTTACCAGATAGCTAGAGAGGGGTCTTCAAACTTGGCCCTTTTATGACTTGTGGACTTCAACTCCCAGAATTCCTCAGCCAGGCACGCGTGCCTGGCTGAGGAATTCTGGGAGTTGAAGTCCACAAGTCATAAAAGGGCCAAGTTTGAAGACCCCTGAGCTAGAGGGATGGAAAGCCCCAAGGTGCTTTCTCAAGAGGCAACTGGACTTTTTTTGTTTTTGTTTTTCCTTGAAGACATTTCGCTTCTCACCCAAGAAGCTTCTTCCGTTCAGAAGTTCTTCAGTTCAGAACTGAAGAAGCTTCTTGGATGAGAAACAAAACATCTTCAAGGAAAAACACAAAAAAAGTCCACTTGCGTCTTGAAAAAAACACCTTTGGGGAACACCGTGATCTGGATGACTAAAAATCTCCACAGACATTTAGAGGGATGGAAGATCTTGCTGAAACAGTAATACCATATTTTAGCCAAACAAATGCACAAAAGATGGCTTAATGTTCAATATATTTCTACTCTTGGATTGTCATAAAGTAGCCTAGAGAAAAGACAATTAAAACTGGAGTAATCTTTCAGAACGCGCAACTCAGAAGTTTTGACTGCACTGGTCTTTTCAACCCGAGGTCTCCCAATTTGACTCGTGCTGGTATCATCCCAATAATCCTAATTTTTATAGTCCAAGTGCAAAGTTACACAAACTGAGGCCAGGTACAGCGATATCCCTTTGTTACTTAAAGTTTTTGTTAATTAGGCTGATAAACAGAGGAGACAGACTTTGAGGAAGTTCTGTTGGGATTACTTTTCTGATATGTCTATATCTGTCTTTGTCTGCCCCCCCCCCTTCCAAACAGACTGTAATTCCTTTTTAAAAGCAAACAGTGGATTGTTCAGACTCCGTGAAGGACTCGGAAATGAAGTATTATGAAAAACCTTGACCTAGTGATATAAAATTGTAAGTATTTCATCGCATAGGAAATATTTGAGATAAATACAAAGGAAATGTTCAGACACTGGAGCAACGTATCATTGCACTGGCCAAAACAGCTAATGAAGGATAATGAATTCTGGGAGTTGAAGTCCACACGTCTTCAAGCTGCCAAGGTTGAGAAAGTGTAGTGTGACAATGGGATTATTACACTGAAGTTATCCAGCTACAAAGCAGACATTTTACGTAACTTATTCCCGTTCACCAAACACAATGTACTACACTGTGTATTAACTACAGCCATTTGCCTGTAATGGTATAGGGTTTCCTGCCTGAGCAAGGGGTTGGACTAGATGACCTCCAAGGTCCCTTCCAACTTTATTATTATTATTATGGATCATCGCACAGTCAGCCAGATGTTCAGACTGGATTTGGCATTTTGTCTACCTATTGAGTCCTTACCAAGGACCTGGGATAGGCAGATGTGGATGTTTGATGGTATTACAGATATCATTGTATTAAGTTTTTTTATCACGAGAAACAAATTGTTAGGAATATTTACTCTGGAATGCCACGTATGTCCATTTTTGTTTTAATTGTATTATAAATAAAAAACTTAAAAAAAAAAAAAAGATATCATCGCAGGATGGAAGCAGTTCCTAGTAAGGTCGCCTTTTGCAATTGACTAATGGAGAATTTGTCAATGCCGATGGTGTTCAAGTGGTGCTCCAGTTGTTTTGGGATTATTATTATATTATTATTATTGTTATTGTTATTATCATTATCTCATATTACAAACTGTATAATGCAATGCACCCTAGAATGCCAAATAAAATACCACGTACGGAAATGAAAATACTAGAGATGGATGGTAAAAGAAACACTGAGCAAAAAGTTCCAAAGTGAGTAACTCAGAAATGGGGAGACAAAAATCCCACAGATGAAACAAAGACCAAGGAACGAGAAGTCACAGAATCGTTAAGGTTGGAAAGGATCCTGGAGGTCTTCTAGTCCAACCCCCTGCTTAAGGCAAGAATCCTTGTATTATCTTGGGACAAAAATGGTCGTCCAACCTTTTCTTGAAAATTTCCAATGATGCAGCACCCACAAAGCTGTTCCGCTGCTTCATACGTCTCATTTTCAGGAAATCCCTTATATCCAGGTTGCATCTCTCTTTAATGAGTTTCTACCCATTGCTTCTTGTCAGGTGCTATGGAAAATAAATCAACGCCCTCTCTTCTCTGTGACAGCCATTCAAGTACAGGTAGTTCTCCACTTACAACCACAATGATAGGGTATAGGGTTGGTATAGGGCAGGGGTAGGCAACTTTGGCTCTTTTATGACTCGTGGACTTCAACTCCCAGAATTCCTCAGCCAGCATGGCTCAGCTTGGAAACCTCTCCCTTTCCCCTCAGCATGGCTGGCTCAGGAATTCTGCGAGTTGAAGTCCACGAGTCATAAAAGAGCCAAGGTGGCCTACCCTTGACCTATACCATCTTAGACAAGTGACTGTCTGGTCCAGGGATAGGCCACCTTGGGTCTTTTATGGCTCGTGGACTTCAATTCCCAAAATTCCTGAGCCAGCATGGCTCAGCTTGGAAACCTCTCCCTTTCCCCTCAGCATGGCTGGCTCAGGAATTCTGGGAGTTGAAGCCCATGAGCCATAAAAGAGCCAATGTTGCCTACCCTTGACCTATACCATCTTAGACAAGTGACTGTCTGGTCCAGGGGTAGGCAACCTTGGCTCTTTTATGACTCGTGGACTTCAACTCCCAGAATTCCTGAGCCAGCATGGCTCAGCTTGGAAACCTCTCCCCTTCCCCTCAGCATGGCTGGCTCAGGAATTCTGGGAGTTGAAATCCACGAGTCATAAAAGAGCCAAGGTGGCCTACCCCTGGAATAGAGGCCCATAGAAGAGGTAAGGAAATTCCAAAGTCAGGGAGGACACCAGGGAAATCACTGATACTCATCAAGGGAATATCTAGCAAATGGGGAGATCAGTATGTGGCTGAGCAAGAACACAGAGAGGGAAGGGTGTCCTATAAAGCTTGGCAGTTGTGGGGCAGGAAGACTGGCTGGGCAGGCTGGTGGAGAAATCAGTGGCAGATTGCTGAGAAATGGGGCCGTCAGGTGTGGAGGTCCGATCCATGCTTTTATGCACCTGCAAATGGCAGACAGGTTTAACAGATCTTTAGGAAGGGAAGTTTTGAGAAAAAGAGAAACTGG